CAAACAGACGTTTTAGGACTTTTGCTTTCCAGCGGGCAAAAATAAAACCACAATCCTCACCCTAGAGTGTTCACCGATGTCCTGTCGAAATCAAATGCTCAAGCCTGCATCCAGGAGGATGTTAATAAGAAGTTTTAACGTGCATTTCTGATAGAAGCATCCAAGTCATGTTCAATTTGCAGGCAAATCTATAATTCCTTCATTCCCAATTGCATCTATTCAGTGAAAACGATAAAGAGAGATGGAGCTAAAACATGCAGCCATCTTTAAATTCAGCTTTAGGTTTGTGATAGAACGTGATTCAGTTTTGTGGTGACAAATAAAATGTGTGTAAATCACAGAAACAACCATAGATCTAGAAAATGTCTGGAGAGGACTGTCAGTACGGCGTCACGTTGAAGCTGCTCTTTTGTTTAAAGAGGAGGAAAGTGGTGAGCCGTGATTGACGTACTCGCTCATGGTGTCTGACAAAATGTCTTTTCACGCTGTCGCTGTGATCTGCGCTGTGTGGCTTCCTTTATAACACTGAAAGCTTTAAAATTGATTAAATGCTAAATGGGACTTTACTGTTAAAACGTCTCTTTCTCGCCTCTCTATCAGCCCCGGGTAACGTTCCTGCCATCGTGGTGTCCTCCGCACCGGCCACTCCTCTTTCTCCCGGCCCGCCGGTCGTATCAGCAGCGTCTCCAACTGTACCGAGCGTAGAACCTGCGGCGACCACCGTCAGCAATCCCGCTCCTTCTCCTGCACCTGCTGCCGCCTCCACCCCGGCCGCACCGGCCAGCAGCAGGCCGTCGGCAGGCACTAACGACCCAGAGGAGGCCGCTCGCGTCCTCGCAGAGAAACGCAGACAAGCCCGAGAGCAACGGGAGAGAGAGGAGCAGGAGCGTCTGGAGCAGGAGCAAAAGAAGAAGTGAGACCTGCTGTCCACACAGACTGTGTGCCTCATAAAATATGATAACACAATGTGTGACAGGCCATGTTTTCCTGAGTTTGTAAGGCAGATTTTGGATAAACACTTAACATTGTGCTGTGATCTAAACCCAAATAAACACTCACTAACTCACTAGTAAACAAAACATTAAAGCAACACAGTTACAGTGAATAATCAGCAAACCTACAACATAATAAAATGCATCATCTCAGATATTATTTAGGAGAGGGCGCCACAGACCGCTGATGTAAATGCAGCTTGTAACGCAGAAACTTCTCCTCAGGATCCTGCAGGAGGAGGCAAGGGCCCGGGAGGCAGAGGAGAGGAAGCGCAGGGAGGAGGAGGCTCGCTTCATGGCCGAGCAGCAGCGCCTGAGAGACGAAGCCAGGAGAGCTCAGGAGGAGAAGGAGGCGCAGGAGAGAGCGAAGGTCGAGCAGGAGGAGAACGAGAGGCTGCAGAGACAGGTGGGTGATGACAGGAGTTATTAAGACGCTGCAGATTATGTCATTCCAACTTGAATAAGACCAGTGCATACGTGAGTCCAGGAGGTAGGAACGCTGGTTTAATGATGGTTTGGTTTAAGCTAAGTCAGTAAAAAAATTAACACATTGTGGCTAACCTTTTGGCAGGAAAAAACAATTCACCAACTAACTTTGAGGAAAGTTTTTCTGAATGGCCTCCCCAACTCGTGATTTCCTCTGCAATGACTGTGTAGTCTCATCACTTAAAACATTTTTGATGCTACTTTTAGTTCAGCGCCTTTCTGAAGCTTCATCTTTTCCTCATCTCTGCTGGTTTGTTTTCAAAATCATAACCGTAATATGATGAAAATGCACACATGGGCCAAAGTTTACCACTTCTCTTGAGGTTGTCTGCCTTCAGGTTTCAGCTGTTTCTTCATACTTTGAAGGGTGCAAAGGATCCACTTGTGCATCCTCGATTATGGCTCCCCCTGCAAGCCTCCTCTCCCCTCTGTCCTCCACATACATTCAAGGATTTCAAGACATCCTTTCTGAGATTGATTTTCAGGTCACAGGCAGTAGGGCAAAGGAAATGAGAAGGTGCAACTTAATGAAAAAGGAAAAAGCCAGAGGACATGAGGAGAGAAGGCAGGGATGTGCGAGTTAGGTGCAGAACAAAGCTTTAACGTGATGGGCAAAAAATAAAGTGTTAGGTGGGGTGTTCATGAGGAAATAAGCATCACAGTGCAAAAAGAGAAACTTAGAAGCTGATCAAAAAGGAATGAGGCAATAAATTAAAAAATCTCAGTGCTGTGCTGTCTGATTGAGAGCTCTTCTCTCCCTAAATTTAAATGCTCAGAGGCATAATTACTGAGAAAAGTCAAAGGGGAAAGTATGGAAGTCTACTGTTTGTCCCAAATTTTTGAAATAATAACTCAAAATTTCAAGTTATTGTGTCAGTTTCGAGTTATTTTCTCAGAAGTGTGACGTAGAAAGTTGAAATTTTGAGATCACTGGTTGAAACGAGCTTCCATGGGCTTGGGCCATAATGTTCTGAAACATCAGCATCGAAACGTCACATTTTTATAGCATACATCCAGAGTGACCCACAGAGCTACAATGGCCACATTAGTGGGAAATACACTTCGTTGAAATAAACCAGAATTATCCTTTAACCCCTTCGGCGTGTTTGTGGTAATCCAGTGAGAATCAGACACCCCTTCCTGACAGATCATCAACTCCACTGTAAATACCCTTTGCTGTGAAACCCCACTTAAATTTTCCATTAACCACCATGAATCCCAGTGATCCCCACATGCAGTAAGCCCATTTACCATCTGGGCAGATTAATGTGCAGGAAACTGTGCTGCTGTGAGCCCAAACATCAGCCTCTGTGACTGTCTGGCATCTGGGCAGATTAAAGAGTATGAGTATGTGCTGCTGTCACTCATGAGCACTAACAGTCAGAGGGCCCTTGTCTGCTGTGGGCACATTCCAGCTGGTGACCTCCATAATGGCGATGAGGGAGCCATTGTGATGGTGGAGGGTAGCGACGGGCCTGTGCTGCCTCTGTCTCGGTCGCTCGGCTCTGGATAAGCAGCGTCAGTGCGCGCCATGCCTGAAGCACTCAGCTCGTCTCGACTCCCCTGCTCCTCTCAATCAGGCCATTGTTCCACCCTGACAGCGAGCTTGCTTCACAGTGGAGTGGCCTCATATTTTTTTAGAGGTCATTTCGCTCAAGTGTTCAGCTAAATGCTCTGAAAATGCGCAGGGCTTGGGGAAGATGCAGGCAAGATTTAAAAAACAGCTGGCTGCGCCTCACGGCACCTTGTGTTGTTTTCACTGCTGGGTTTTAAACATATGTGTGTTTAAATATCCAGTCAAGTATGTAATGGGGGTTAAATAATATGAGGTCAGACCTGAAGGCTGCAGACCTGCAGACCACGCTGAGCAGGTGCTGCCCCCTGGTGGTCAGTTGGTTTCAGTTGCATGTTTTTTTAATGGTGTAAGGAGCCCCATCTAGCACTCAACATATGATTGCTGATTGCAGCACACATGACAAGTGTCAGATGGTGAAAAGAAGTCAGTCTCATGAATATTTGTGAAGCAATTATTGACTCAAAAATGAAATATTTTAGCAAAATGTAAAGATGTGTGCAAGAAAGGGCCTCAAGCATTATCTGTCATGCTCGAAGAAGCTTTTTT